GAAGGAAGCGTGAGAGTGATAAGCAAGGAATGAGCAGACAGAAACCAGACTGACTAGCAGACTGACTAGAAATTCATTCCAACAGATCTAGGCCCATCATTTGTGGCACGTGGCAGCATTGTCTAAGATCTATTAGGCTTGGGTAGCCCTAATTCTGCCATTGACGAGAGCCATGGGCTCTCTTTTAGGATGTCTCTATTTGGGTGCTCAACCTTTCCTTGGCAGACATCTCACAGTCCTAAAAGCTTCAATTTCCTGGGCTTTCCACAGCAAACCAGGTTTCGCCTTCACAGCTTCACACACTTGCTTCTCAGGGAATCTGCCATACAGTGCCTTGCCTTCAAATTTCTTCCTCTCCACACCCCTTGATGCATGAACTCTATAATACAAAGGAAACCAAATTCTTGTGCTTACTTGAGATTTGGTGGCCTCTCCTCCAACACAGCTACAGCGGCCTCCAAGCGCCACTGAGATGACTTGAGAAAGCGTTTCTTTTTGGTGGACTTGTTTAAGCAGCATACTGGGAAGTGTCGTTTTCATTTGAAATGAATGCCTTTTAGATTTAAGGTTTTCTTTGACGGACACTTTTAAATGGGTTTTTACTTGTGTGGGCTAGAGCCTTCTATAAGTGGAGTCTTGTTCTCAAGGCGTTCCATCCTCTCCATTTGAAGTGCACAACTTCCCCTTAGTAGCACTAATCTCTTAAACACCCATAGACGTTTCTCTGTATCCACCTCGTACACAATTTGACTTTGCTTATTTCCTAATTTGACATGAAGCCTTACTCTGTAACTTAAGTGGCTTGGGGCTCACGACGTAGCCCTTAATGAACCTGACCTCATGGCAACCTGCTGGCTTCTGCTTCCCAAGTTCAGTGTGCACATTCTACGCTTATTAAATATACCTTTTCCACATCATCCTGTCTGCTTTCTGCACTAGAGTCTCACCATAAACATGACTAATAGCACCGGGAAACAACTATACCGTGGCTTGAGTGTCATTTTGAGGGTATGAGAAGAATGGAGTCATCTGATCTTGGCTTTACTGTACCCGTGTGTATGTGTCTATCCTGTCTTCGTTCCCTCCATATCCCTAATCAGGGTTCTAAGACCCAACCTGCAGGAGACATGACCAGGCTTCAAGCCATCCCACAGTCCTTCTACATACCAGTTTCAAAGGCCTAAAACCACATGGCCATGTTTATCACAGAAATTATCCCACTTCCCAGTACCATTTTGTGTGTCAGTTACTCTTCTCATCATTGTGAATAAAGTATCCAACCGGGCATCTTAGGACAAGAAAGGTTTATTTTGGCTCACAATTTCAAAGGTCACAGTCTATCATGGCTGGAAGAACAGGAAAGTAGAACTTCTTAGTCAGGAGTAGCAGGACCTTGCTGCAATGTTTGCTCACCCCTGGTTGGATCAGGCAGCAGAGAGCACAGGGCAAGAAGCAGAAGTAGATACCATCTTCAAGTCTTCTCCCCAGCAACCTACTTCTGCTACATGGCCTATAGCTCTGTCTTGCCAAACTTAACGAGTCACATCACCAGAAACAGCTTTATGGGACCCAGTATTCAAACAATGAGCCCGAGGGAAACATTATCCATTCAAATCACAATGCATGAGGTAATATGTTCTCACCAGACTGGTGAGAAAGAAGCATTTTCTAGAAAATGCAATATTTAAGAGCATATGGGAATGAATTCTCTGGTACCACAGATGGATATAATGTGTTTCTAAACAATTAAGCGGTGTCTTGCAATGACTATTATAACATTAGGAAATGCATTTTAGCCAAGCAATTTTATTTTCTTCTAGGTCCATTCTAAGATGCTGTAATATGCTCAGTGTTAGAAAAATTTTACATAATTACATATTTTACAATTTAAGACTTTGGTGACATTTCTAGCTACAGAGAAGCTTAGTAAATAATGGAATGGCAATGAAATTAATAAAATATTTGGAAAACTTTTAAACAACATGAAAACATATCTGTGATGCATTAACAAACAAATAGTTATAAAGCATATATCATAGAATCATTTTCTTATTAATGAAAACATGCATACATGCCCCAAAGCAACAGAATAGTGATTGCTACATAAGAGCAGGATAAGGAATGATTTTCATTTTACTTAATTTGCATTTCAGCATTACCTAATACTTCTATTGCATTCTGAGCTTCTTTCAACAATGGAAAATAAAATATAGTTTGTGCATATTTAATAAACTAAAAATCAGAAGGTATTTGTAACTGTTTAATTTATTTTTCAACAAATATTTATCATGCTTCTATTGTGTGCCAAGTATCCTCTTAAGAATTGGAAATAAAATATGAAATAAAAATCTCTGCCTTACTTTTACTATTTCTTAGTGTACATAGGTATTACACAAGTAGATAGGTGAAATTTCAATATAATTAGAGATAATGAGATCTGCTATGGAGGAAATGAGCAGGTGAGATCTAAGCTGAGCCCTGCAGGAAGAAAAGAAGCCAGCATGTGAAGGGATGCTGGAGCTTGCCACTGACAGAAGACCGTGAGAAACCCAGGGTCAGTGAAGAATTTGTGGGGTGAGGGGATATGGGCATAGGCAGGCAGCCAGGGTGACAGAGGAGAGGTGGTTTCCTAGCCAAGAAACTGGTAAGGACAGAAAAAGTAAAGAATATTTGCAAACACCCCCCAGGGGTGGGGTGGGGGAGTTTCCAAGTTAAAAGCAACCACAATAATCAAAAATAAACTGTGATGTTTCTGCTGCAATGAAGTGACTTTGTCTTTAAAAAAAAAAAAAAAAAGGTAAAATTCTGCCTGTTAATTGAAGACTGGTATACGTAAAACACAAAAGGTGCATGGAAACAAATGAGAGGGAAAAAAAAAACAAATTGTGGAGATGCTCAGAGAATTGGAAGAAGAAATGTAAATTAGTTAGAAACAAAGAGCAACATTCAGCTAGACTGGCTAGTAAGCAAAATGGTGAATTCAGATGCGCTCTCTCCTCTTAGATTGGCAACGTTGAGGACAAATAATTGAGCAGGCAGTGAGGCTACCGTGAGACAGGCAGTCACTAAGGGCGGGCTGTGCATTGATAACCTCACGAGAAAACAATAGCGGGAGTCAAAAGTGTTTCACTAGTGCCTGTCTCATTCCCTCCTCTGTCGTAACTGGCTGGCCCATCATTCTTTGTCTTTGCTAAGGTGTCTGCTGCTGATGGACATGTGCTGTAAGGTACTGCGCTCAGGGCTGGTTAGAGTAAATCTTTAAACCAGTGGTTGGTTTTCTTTATGAAAAGCCGTGTGCAACTCATTCTGTTCTTTGTACCACCTGTATTTCTCCAAAATTCCACAAATAAAGGGTATTCCATTGTACAATCAGGAAAATAGCTATTGAAAAAGTAGTTATAGGTGAGTTAAAAAAAAAAAACTCAGTATAACACAGAGATGACTAACACTAGGGAAATGTTAAAACTTTTTTTTTTTAATTTTATATAGTGACTTCCCAACCCTTCTTCTTTCTTTCTTTCTTTTTATGACTCTTAAACCTTGAGATTTTCAGGACGTGGACTGTGAAAATGGCTCAGCAGTTAAGAGCACTTTCTGCTCTTCCAGTGAACCTGAGTTTGGTTCCCACCATCTACATCAGGTGGCTCACAGCCACCTGAAACTCACACTGAAACTTCAGGGTGTCTGACAACCCCTTCTGGTCTCCATGCAGGCATCTGCAGACATTCAGCATAGCCTTCCTACCGTTATTCAAGCACACAGGTTAGGAAAGAAGGAAAGAATGTGGGAGAAGCAGAACTCAGTGCTGTGCTGTCCGCTGAAAGCTGGGGACACTGTCTACTTGAGAGCGCTGTGTGAGGCTTAAAGAGCACTTTGAAAGTCACCGTCTGTGGTTTCATGTTATATTATTATAACTATATTATAATCAAAATAGCAATGATTCCCTCATGCTAAATTATAGCTAACTTGCTTTTCCATTTTACAAGCTTACCTCTCCCATCAGTTGAAATTCACAGAATAGCAAATGCATAAAACCCAGTGTGATTCCAGTCTTGCAAATGAGAAAATCTAGCTATGGAAAATGTATTTGCCCAAAATTTTATCCTAGCAAGTTGTCAACCTAGTATGATCCCATAATCCTAATAGTAGATATCTCTGGAAACTTTAGTGTTCTCCATCCTTTCTCTTTTTGCTCCAGTTTATTAATTATCTTTTTAAATTTTTCTTTATTATTATTATTTATTAAAATTTAGTCACTTTATATCCTGGCTGTAGCCCACTCCCTCACCTCCTCCAGGTCCTACCATTATTCCTTCTTCTCTCCCTATGCCCCTCCTGTAGTCCCCTGATAGGGGAGGTCCTCCTCCCCTACTCTCTGACCCTAGCCTATCAGGGCTCATCAGGTCTGTCTGGATCCTCTTTCTCTGTGGCCTAGTTAGGCCACCTTGCCTAAGGGGAGGTGATCGAAAAGCCAGCCACTGAGTCCATTTCAGAGACAGCCCCTGCTCCCCTTACTAGGGAACCCCCATGGAGACTGAGCATGATGGAGTAGTCTGCACTAAGAAAGCAAACAGGGGGCTGTTTTGAGCAGGTGTTAAGGAACAACGATCACACAGAAAATTGAAACAGGGAAAATAGTAAATAGCAAGCACACAACAATCTAGGTTGAGCACCTCAGTTTGATAAGAGTTAAGGAAATAATCTTTGTCAGAAATACAGAGAGCAGATGTGGGGCTGGGCCTCGGCTAGCCTGGGGCTTGTACATGTTTTAATGGAGTGTCCAAAAATCATTTTACACTGGAGAACAAATTAGCTATCTATTAAGGAAGATGATTCTGCCAATTGTAGAAAGAGCTGTAAGTGCCAAGACCATAGCAAGACGTAATTCGGTAATGAGTACCACAACCATTAAGAAAAGAGGAAACACAGGAAGGAGGGAGCTGAGGGCTTTGGAAGTCTTCTGAGTACTAGCCAAACATCTATTCAGGTCACAAGCTTTTTTACGCCTCAGTGGTGGTGGTAGCTTCCCCCATTTCTTCTGTCAGGGATTCCTGCACGGGATTGTCAGCGCTTTTCCCACCCATCAACTTTTCCCCACCTGGGTTCTGAGACACAGGCTCCCGGACCAGCAGGATGTCAGCTGTGTTCATGACCGTGTTGCTCTTAGCTCTAAGGGTGTAGGCTTCCTGGGGTTTGGCTTTCTTTTGGCAGATCTGGAAAGCATCTTGGAAACCGTTGCGAAAGTTTTCGTTAAAGAAACCGTAGATGACGGGGTTGACACTGCTGTTACAAAAGGCGAGCCAGTGGGCGAAAGGGTAAATATAGATGTTGATGATGCGCAGTCTATTGGGAGGCAGGTCGGCATAGTCGGAGAGCATCATCAGCGTCCACAGGGGCAGCCAGGAGACAATGAACAGGAGGGCCACAGCCAGCAGCATCTTGATGACCTTCTGTTTCTTCTTGGATACGCGCTGCTGTTCCGGGCGCTGCTCACGTTTGCAGGGTGCTGAAGTCTTGCAGAGGGAAGCCCCAATCTTTGCATACATGGCAACAATGAGGGAGAGTGGAGCCAGGTAGATGGTGACAAACAGCAAGGTCGTGTAGATCCTCCTCATCTCCTCGTTGGGCCAGTCCTCCCGACACCAGTAGACTGCGCTGGTTTTATTGTGGGAGCTGAGCCTCACTCGGTAGTGTTTTTCTTCCTGTACGTGTAACATTACTGCAGAGGGAGTCATAATGGTGATGGCCAAGCCCCAGACAATCACGATAGTGACAAATGCTGTCTTGATGGTGAGCTTTGGCTTAAAGGGGTAGACGACACACCGGAATCTGCAATGAGAGGCGAAGATCAGTCAGGCAAGGATCAGTCACTGCCTCAGTTGCCGAGCCTGACGCAAACAAGTGTGAGGACACGCACCTACATTTACTCCAAAAACGCAGAAAGGTAGCACCTGTGGCAAAGCAATGACTTGCCAACTTATGTACGTGAGAAAGGATAGGTTTTAATTGAAAGTAAATGGATGGAACAGGTCAGATACTTTAATGAGAAAAGATGGTAATAGTATTACTTTGGAATATACTGAATATTCTATATTCATCTATAGATGGCCCCTTAGAACTCTGCTGTAGACTCAGTACCATGGGCTTACATGAGCTGCTCCTTAAATTTGACAAATTAAAATAAAAAGATGTGCATTTAGCAAAGGTCACAGTCTTGCTTATAGTTATGCATGATCTCAACCCAAGCAGCTGGACTCCAGAGCGGTAGGTTCAGTAGACAGCCAGATCTACCGTACTGCAGGAGACAGCTCATCAGGAGCAAATCATGAACCAACTCTCCCTTGGGTTCTTAATGTTCCCAAAAAATCATTTCCGCGCTCGGCCACGGAATGTGTTCTGGCTAGCAGACATTAACAAGCATGCACATCAGGGCTGTCCTTTCGGGTGCTTCTCCCAAAAACACAGCTTTTACGTTCCAAGAAATTTGAATTGGATGAGAAGCACAGGGTAAAAGGCCCTGGGGAACATCAGGCTGGTCACAGTAGATACATCAGTCTCAATTTAATTCACAGAGTAACACTGCAGCGTGAGTGATACAGGGAGAGGGAACTGAGACGGGTGCTCCCTCAGCCCAGAGACACGAGGGATAAATTATCATTTCTTCCACCAAAAGGTGGTTTTAGATATTTCGCAATGATATGGGTCTAAGAAGTAGCATCATGAAATGTGATGAAGACTCCTTTGATATCCTCTGTTGAGCCTGGCAATTCAAAATCTGTTGAGGAATTTTACCACTTTTGTTATTGTGATTTTTATTATTGTTAAATGTGTATTATAATGAATTATAATCTGTATGTGCTATTATACAACTATCATCTTAGATGTTATCACTTATTTAGTGTACTTTTTGTTTTTGTGAGATTCAAAAGCTGATTTTATTACTTAGCAGACAGATACGCAGATAAAGAAAGTAATGGTTGAATAGAAACTCCAAATCAACTTCTGTGGCACACCTTCAGAGAATCAATAAAGAATGAGTTGATAAGCCCCCACTGCTGGAGACGCCACATACCTCGAATACAAGACATAGAGAAATGAAGCCAAAAAACCCAGAATCTCCAAAACAATCCTGTACAACAACAGATCATCTGGAGGTATCTCCATCCCCGATCTCAAGTTGTACTACAAAGCAATAGTAATAAAAACTGCATGGTATTGGCATAAAAACAGAAAGGAGGATCAATGGAACCGCATAGAAGATCCAGAAATAAACCCACACACCTATGAATACTCGATATTTGACAAAGAAGCCAAAACCATTCAATGGAAAAAAGACAGCATCTTCAACAAATGGTGCTGGTCCAACTGGATGTCCACATGCAGAAAAATGAAAATAGATCTCTATTTATCACCCTGCACAAAACTAAAGTCCAAGTGGATCAAAGACCCAACATAAAACCAGATACTCTAAATCTGTTAGAAGAAAAAGTGGGGAACAGCCTAGAACTCATTGGCACAGGAGACAACTTCCTGAACAGAACACCAACAGCACAGGCTCTAAGAGCAACAATCAATAAATGGGACCTCATGAAACTGAACAGCTTCTGTAAAGCAAAGGACACTGTCATCAAAACAAAACGCCTGCCTACAGATTGGGAAAGAATCTTCACTAACCCTTTATCTGACAGAGGACTAATATCGAGTATATACAAAGAACTAAAGAAGCTGAAAAGCAGCAAACCAAGTAATCCAATTAAAAAATGGGGAACAGAGCTAAACAGAGAATTCTCGACAGAGGAATATCGAATGGCAGAGAAACACTTAAAGAAATGCTCAACCTCATTAGCTATCAGGGAAATGCAAATCAAAATGACCCTGAGATATCACCTTACACCCATCAGAATGGCCAAGATGAAAAACTCAAGGGACAACACATGCTGGAGAGGTTGTGGAGAAAGGGGAACCCTCCTCCACTGCTGGTGGGAATGTTAACTGGTACAACCACTCTGGAAATCTATCTGGCACTTTCTAAGACAATTAGGAATAGTGCTTCCTCAAGACCCAGCTATACCACTGCTAGGTATATACCCAAAGTTTGCTCAAGTACACAAAAGGGATATTTGCTCAACCATGTTTATAGCAGCTTTATTTGTAATAGCCAGAACCTGGAAACAACCCAGATGTCCATCAACGGAGGAATGGGTACAGAAATTGTGGTATTTTTACACAATGGAATACTACTCAGCAATCAAAAAGGAGGAAATCATGAAATTTGCAGGCAAATGGTGGGATCTAGAAAAGATCATACTGAGTGAAATATCCCAGAAGGAGAAAGACAAACACGGTATATACTCACTTATATAGACCTATAAGATATAATAAACATAATGAAATCTACACACCTAAAAAAGATAATCAAGAGAGCGGACATGGGGTAAGATTATCAATCCTCGTTTTGAAAGACAGATGGGATACACATTGAACATGGACAGGAGTTTACTGAGCGCATTGGAAAGACTCTAACTAGCAGTGTTTTCAAAGCAAAGACTCATGACCAAACCTCTGGCAGAGTACAGGGAATCATAAGAAAGAAGGGGAGTTAGACTGATGAGGAAAAGATAGGAGCTCCACAAGGACCAAATATATCTGGGCACAGGGTCTTTTCTGAGACTGACATGCAACCAAGGACCATGTATGAATGTAACCCAGAACCTCTGCTCAGATGTAGCCTGTGGTAGCTCAGTAACCAATTGGTTTCCCATAGTGAGGGGAACAAGGACTATTTCTAACAGGAACTCAATGACTGGCTCTTTGGCCTCCCCACCCCCCAAGGGAGGAGCAGTCCTGTTAGGCCACAGAGGAGAGCTTTGCAGCCAGTCCTGAAGATACCTGATAAAACAGGATCAGATGAATGGGGACGAGGTCCCCCCTATCAGTGGACTTGGCAAGGGGCAGGGTGGAGATGAGGGAGGGAGGGAGGGACTGGGAGGGAATGAGGGATCGGGACAAGGCTGAGATACAGAGTTAATAAAATGTAACTGATAAGAAAAAAATAAAATACAAAAAAAAACAAGAAAAAAAAAACAAAAAAAAGCCATTCACTTATTAATTAACCTCATTGAATTTTCAAACGTAAAGAGGGGAAGAAAAGACGTGACGTCCTTCAATCTCACTGCACTCCACACCTAACAAATGTTATTTCTCCTCTCTTAAAGTCAACATTACAGATGAAGTGGCTGTCCTCTTGGCAGCCATATTCGTTCCTCTTCGTTTCTGCAGAGACATTCTGAAATTGTTAGCCATTCTCCCTGTACATACATTCCTGCCTTTCCAGCCGTAGCCGGCATCTGGAATGTTTTAGATTTCACAATATAGTGGCACCATATTGTGTTTATTGTTATGCAACTTATCCAGGAGTTTATGTTTTTAAAATTTATACAGATTGGAATGTTGACTTATGCTGTCCTGCTTCATTCACTTTATCTCTCTAATGTTAACCACTGAAAAACAGCGTAAGTTGTTTGTAGATTTTGATCTCATTTGCCTTCTGAAATAAAGAGGGTCAATGTTTATTTTTCTAGTGTCATGTCAGAAATATTGCTCAAAGCTTTTAAGGACACGTAAGCACCAACTGTAAAGCAAACATTGAAAGCTTAAGGTTGAAGCAGAAACACAAAGGATAGCACAGCTTCTGTTCACTGTGAAGAGCCTTAATTATTACATAACATTAGCTTGCAGGACACCCTGGGTTCAATGTGGTTCTTAAAAGTGTGATGTATATTTTGAGTGAGCACACACACACAAAAAAATCATGTGTCTCTCACCGAAAAGTGATGTGGTTTATAATTTCAGATGTTGAGATCCAACTGGCTTTGTTTTATATAATTATTACAAAGAGAAAGAATAATGTATCAGTGATTCTAAAATTAAACAGCTTGGGTCATATTCCCAAGCTATAACTGCATGGAAAGCACTAACACTTTAAGATCTGAAATATATATGTGTGTGTGTGTGTGTGTGTGTGTGTGTGTAATTATATATATTATATATGTAATTATATATATATGTGTGTGTGTGTGTGTGTGTGTGTGTGTGTAATTATGTGGGTTATGGAATTTGTTATAAGTATCCAGTGACACAGTAATTTGGTGGTGGTACTCTTTAGTTGGTAGTAATATAAGCAGGGATGTATTTAGGCCAGTATATTCGGTGTCATTTAGTAGTGGTGACAAGATGTAAGAACTTGGTAAGTTGACATTTTCTGGAACTCACAGTTTGGAGCTGACTCACCTGTCCACAGCTATTGCCACCAAGGTGAAGACTGAAGCCGCAACTGATATTCCCTGCACCAGCCCACTGATCTTGCACATGCTGCTTCCAAATGGCCATCCTGGACAGGGAATCGAATAGTCTCTGAGACAGTTATTTCACTTCACTATACAGCAAATATAAACAAAAATTCAGGAAATGAAGGTAGCCACAGAACAAAGTATCCTGATATTTTTGGTAATTTCTCCAGTCAGAGTGCGCCTCATCAGGGCAGTATCCACAGTGCAAGACTTGCACAGTCACTATGCCATTCCAGGTTCTATCAGAGGCACTTCCCTCCTGCTGTCATATTTAATCCCTATGAGAATATTCTGAATGCTCAGTTCTCTCTCTAGACAAGGTCAAAACCACGAATACACACCTTGTTCTAGCCAGCTGAAAAATATTTAAACCTAGGTAAGTTTCCAGAGTGCAAACCAGCAAACTTTATGTTGCAATGTTTTGAACCAATGGTTCTCAACCTTCCTAATGCTGCACACACTTTAATACAGTTCCTCGTGGTAGAAAATTTTAATCCAGCAACATGGCTGCTCTGATCAAAACCAAGGACCTTCTAGATCTGTGTGATCCAGGTGAAGGCAGATATGTCACACACATCTTTAATCCCTTTGGCTGTAATATAGACACACCCTTAATATACGCACCTTTAATTTCAACAATGAAGGAAAAGTTAGTTTGTAGAAGGAATCAGCCAGGTTTGAAAGTGGCATTCTACTTGAGAGGCAGATAAAGTGATGAATCAGAAAGATTTGACAGAATGACTCAGGATAATATATGCCCAACTCTCACCAGAAGAGAGAGAGAGAGGAAACAGGGGTGACTTAAGACAGAAGCACACACACACACACAGAGAGAGAGGGACAGTTTCACCAGGACAGTTTTACAGAGACAAGTTGAAGAGAGAGCAAGCTAGAGACAGGTGAAGACAGATGGGCCAGAGAATGAAAGGAGCCAGAAGATTAGAACAGATTGCTACTGAGAGTTTAAGGGCAAGCAGAGCAATTCAGTCAGAAGTGAGAAAAGCCAATTTGAATCAGTCAGCTTGGAGAGGAGTTTGAGCCAGAACAGCTGGGTTGAACCAAGCAGCCAGAGTTCAGAAATAATTCGAAAAGGTGAGCTTATTCAGCAGTAAGCCTCTGAGATGACAATTACCTCTGGCGAATAAAAGATTCATTTATACTCATGTTTTGGTGGCTTTCAACCATAAAATTATTTTCATTTCTACTTCATAACTGTAATTTTGTTAGGAATCATAATGTAAATAGCTGATATTTCTATTGATCTAAAGTGACCCCTGTGAAAGAGTCATTCAACCCCCAAAGAGATCTCAACCCACAGATTGGGAACCACTGTTTTAAATGAATAAAACAGCCAGGGTATTAATTTTCTAATTTGTAAATACACCCCAATAAATTGTGAGGAACTGGGAATTACATATAAAACAAATATTCACAGTGCATGCTTAACATGATAGTGACATCAGAATAAAGACTTTTTTGCATGGATGGCTGTCATGTACTTCAGTTATTTACCTAAACTACAGTGACTAGAGCATTCCTAAGAGAAATTAGTGAAAACTATTAGAGAAGTTTGACCTTCTGAACACTCATTTGCTATTAAAGAGATAGAGAGAAAGGGAGAAAGTGTCTCCTAAAAATATTCTATACTGTTTTTTAGATCTTAAACGTTTATTTTTCAAAAAAGAAGCTCTGTAGTATATTTTTAAAACAAGAAACTATTCATATCTAATCTTAGTGGCCCAAATACCACAAGTGAGTATATTTTAACATGTGGCCCTTTTTAGATTTGCCTTTTCAGTTTGTTTCACTTTGTTTGTTTTCAGGGATAAGGCCTGGCTATATTCTTCAGGTTGGCTCTCAAACCTGGACCTCCCCACTTGAGTCTAGATCATAAAATAGGGTCCTCAGTGAGTCTATTGAACATATTGGGCTTCACAGTAAATCATAAACCAGAAATGGTTCATTGTACTGTGAGAAAGGACTGTGAAATAAGAAAAAAGAACTCACCAAAAAACAACAAACCCTTTACCAGTAACCTCAGAAGTATGAAATGATAGTAAAGAAACAAACATAAAAGAAACAAATATAAGCCAAGTAATTTAAGGCAATAAAATTGAGAAACACAAAATGAACATTAAGAAAACCCTTCTCTGCCCCACAGGGTTGGGGATTGAACCTAGGACTCTGGATAGGCTAGGCACGCATGCTGACACTGAGCTACATACTTAGCCCTGAGATTAAAAAAATATTATTATAATTCTAAAATCATGTATACGCGTGTGTCTATGTATAGGTCTATACAGGTGAGTTCAGGCCAGAAGAGGACATCAATCCCCCAGTCTCCTTGGAAGCTGGAGTTATAGGAAGTTTAGAGCCAACCCACAGTGGGTGCTGGCCACCAAATATAGGTAGTAAGGAAGTGCTCTTAACCATTAATCTGGGGACAATGTCTTCATGTAGACCAGGCTGAGCTTCAAATTGCAGTCCTCCTGCCTGGATCTCTAAGGTGATAATATTATAGGTCTATACCGCCTCTCCAATACACACGTACAAATCTTTGAAGAATAGAAATATAAGAGGCATAAATTGAATGAGAAACAAGGGAAAGGGGTACCCTGGCCTTTTCTATGTGATTAACATATCCAAAGTAAGAAGGGAAAAGACTTTGCCAAGAAAATTCTCGAGGATGAAGCACATTCGTTTTCAGATTGAAAGGAGTCGTTGTTATCCAGCGCAATAAATAAACCACAGAAAACCAACTTTCAGCCTTAATTTCGTGACACTGTGGATAAAGAAAACTCAAAAGGCTTTTAGGAAGAAAAATATGCAACTCAAATAAAAGACAGCAAGAGTCAAAGTTTTCAACAGCGAATCAAACATTTCTTAGAAGTAACAGGGAGCAATTCCTTTACAATTCCAACCAGAAAAAGTTCCAACCCAGAATTGCTCACATAGCTAAACTACACTCAAGTGTGGGAGGGAAACAAAGCCATTTGCAGACATGTAAGTTCTCAGAAATGTTTCATCACGATGTACTGTCTCTTAGGAAGGAATAAAGTAGACAGCAATCGTGACACCCAGAAAACAGAGGACCAAATACAAAGAGGAGTGGAGGAGACCTAGAAAACGTAAAATTATATTAGTTGTATGATACTTAGATATATGGCCATCATCACCAAGAAGAAAGACAGAAAATTATGCAAGTGGCTGCCTACTGGGAAATAAAATCAGAGGGTACAGTGAGGTGATTCACCTGCAAAATATTAAAGTAATCATTTAACTTAAAATAATCATGGCAGAAAACTGAATGTCATGGGAAGATAAGCACTTGGATATATGTGCTACTGTGGATAATTTTAATATGCCAACATGATTCCGCTGTTTTCTTATATAGGTAGGAATGTGAACATCTCAAATGCTCTCCTCAATTAACACAGCAGTGTTAAATCAACACTCCGAATGAGCACCCTCCCGGGATCAGGAAATACACAGGCCCTGCACCTCTAGTACTTTATGGGGGTATCAAAGACGTGATGATATGGACACAGAAGTATGAGAGGGAAGTTCTCTCTCCCAAACTGTACATCTATTTGTTTATTACATGTTTTGTTTAGAATGTTCGTCTTGTGAAGATGCCTACCTGGAACACTTGTGGGAACTCAGTGACTATGCGTGAATGAATGGATGCATGAAGGATTCTGAGCTGAGTCTGGACGTGTGGGGAAATGTTTCCTCAGACCATCTTTATGGTGCTCTCAGATCAACGTACCTGCTATGATGTTGTCCAGCAACGTGACAGGCATACAGAATATTCCAACCAGTAAATCACTGACTGCGAGGTTTAAGATGAAGAAATTCGTGACTGTGTGCATGTGTCTGTTCCTTATGACAATCAAGCACACCACAGTATTTCCCACCATGCACAGGGAAAAGATCAGGGAGTAGGAAGTAATGAAGATGGCCGCCACTTGAGGCTGGTGAAGATAGTAGTTCACGTAAGTGACGTTGATATCTGAATACCAATGATGCTGGGCATCGCTGCCACTCCCGATGTGATTCCAGCTTTCTGAAGAGTTTGAGTCCCACTTCTTGCTCATGGCGGACCTAAAAAGTGGAGAAGTGAAAAGAAAAGATGAAGAAAATAGGGGTAGGATGTAACTTCCGGGTTTAAGTTTAGTAAGAGGAACACTTTTTCAACATCATTGAATTTCAATGATCTCTCAGTAATCCATCAGTTTTACATAAAACTGAATTATAAATATGACATTCATTATATTAGGATTTCAAATGGAAGCATTTGAAATTACTCCTCTGTGGCATACACAATAATCATGACAGTTGATTCCCTGATGTACTTTATATTACACTTCTGAATGTATTTATCTGTCAAAACCCACTTGTTCTTGTTAGACAGCTGTACATCAAGAGCTGCTAGCTTGTCTAATAATTTGAGAAGGGATTATTGCTGTGGGTATGTTGAAGGTGCAGACCCACCTCTGTATTCTGATTATTAGACAAACAGAAAATTAAACACCTGCATTCACTTTTAAGAGTAATGTTAAATTTAAATTGGTACATCTAAATTTGAGTGGATCAGCTACCGAGCTGGTAAGACCACACTTTGAAAAACTTTGAGGCAATTGGTGACTTCACAATCTCTTCTGGACCTTTGCCAAGTATGCTTGTATCGCTGTAGAGTGTTATGTTTATCTTGTAAAATATTAGAGTAAGTACTACTGAATTGTGTATTATATATCTGATACTTGATTTTTTATGATGTTCCTTGTTTATTTATTATCTAAGTAACTTTCTAGTTTCACTTGCCCCTACTTAACTTTGAAACAATACTAATTTGAGAGTCACACATCTGGGCAAGGTATTATTCATCAGTCAGCTCAGTTTTGTTGTAGTTAACACCTTCTGAATAAAGTCACTGGATGGATAAGACACTGTTGGTCTATTCCCTTGATCATCCAGATAGCTGCAGCTTTCTACAACCTTTCTGCTGGGAAAAGATGCATTTGTAAACTAACAGTTGAATGGACAATGAACTAGTCTCAGGTACAGGACCGAAATACACGAGCTATAACAGTTTTTAAATAGTCATTTTCTTTTAGATTTACAGGACCTCACTGTCCTGTAAGCTTCAGATAAAGCTCAAATATCAGAGAGGCAGAAATTTGACATCTGTAAGTTGCCCTGATGCCTTCCTATCCGTCCTGCTTCCCCACAGCTTTCCCCACCGGAGTAGACCTCATGCCTGAAACCCAGAGATAAGATGGCATTGGCTGGTGAGTCTACATCACCTCAAGTTTCCAAAATAAATCTTATTTCTTTGCCCCTACAATTTGTCTTTGCACCACTGCATTTAAGTGATGAGAAATGAATCTTACTTCATGGTTTCATATTTAATATAGAGCAAAGTAACTAGATATTAAGCCATTAAAATATTTTAAAAGGGGATTGATTTTAATAGCATGTGTTATATTACCATTTTATTTCCCATTTTTCTAATTATTTTAGGCTCTTCCTGTGTTTCTTCTATATCTTGTAGCTGTAGCTGCCTCCCTCCAAAAAGGCAAAAATCAGTAAGTCTTTTTGATTTTAGAATTCTGTCCTCTACACTCAAATTCCACACCTTCTTTTCTACTGTTGACTGTTGTGAGCAATAGCTGCACAGCTTTACATAAATAACTCAAGTTCATTGTCCTTTAGATGTCTCATCTAAAAGGTGAAAATAACAAGCATACATGTTTCATAATAGGCTTTCATAAAATAGTTATTGCTATGATGCATTTTGCTTACTACACGTCAAACTTAGCAATAAGCAATTTTTATGTATTTTTTACATTAACACCATCAAACAGGTAATTGATTAATTAATTTATCAAAGATCAGCAGTAAGAAAGTAGACTTGGGACTGTTCCTTCCAGGAACCTTCCTCTAGAACTCATGTTCTTAATCTTACACTGATGTTGTTATTTCAAACCTGGGGTCCCTAACCCTAACCTTGTTAATATACAGGCAGTTCCGCTGGCCTGCTCTCAGGAACCTAGCAATTATTTATGTCATCACCTGCCACAGCCAGGTGCACTGGGTGTGTGCTGAGGATAAAGGGACCCACAGACCACCCCAGCTCTCTCTCTCTCCTTGCATTCCTCTTCTCTGTGCACAGGTGCTCGCTCTCTCTCTCTCTCTCTCTCTCTTTCTCCCTCCTGCCCACCTCTCTGTCTTCCTGTCTGCATGGCAATTTTCCTGGCCCCATTCTCAGAGACCGGTGAATCCACCCAAGAGTGGACCCCAATAAAACTGCTTACTTTTCCTTTTTTAATTTATTTTTTATAATTTATTCACTTTATATCCTTATTGTAGGCCCCTCCCTCATCTCATCCCAGTCCCACCCTCCTCCACCTTCCCCCCCTAGTCAACAGAAAAGGGAAGTCCTCCTCCCCTACTATCTGACCCTAGCCTTTCAGGTCTCATTAAGACTGTTTGGATCCTCTTCCTCCATGGGATGGCTAGGTTGCCCCCCAACCAGGAACAAGTGATCAAAGAGAAGACAATCAAGTTCATGACAGAGACAACCCCTGCTCCCCTTACTCCGGAACCAACAGGGAGACTGAGCTGCCCAATCGGCTACATTTGAGCAGGGGCTCTAGGTCCTCTCCAAGCATGGTCCTTGGTTGGTGCATCAGTCTCTGCAGGCCCACCTGGGCTCAGATTTGTTGGCTCTGCTGGTCTCCTTGGAGAGCTCCTGTCCTCTCTGTGTCCTTCTATCCCCCCACTCTTCCATAAGACTCCCTGTGCTCTGTGCAAAGTTTAGTTGTGAGTCTTAACATCTGCTTTAATTCTCTGCTGAGTCGAGTCCTTCAGAGGACATCTATGGTAGGCTCCCTTCCTGTTCCCTCTCTTCAGCAGCTTCCGGTGTCTATTCGACTTGCCCTTCTGAATGAGAATTAAGCATCCTCCCTAGGGTCCTCCTTGTTATTTATCTTCTTTGGGTCTGTGGATTTTAGTATGGTTATCCTGTATTATATAGCTAATCCAGACACACTAAATCTGTTAGAAGAAAACGTGGGGAAAAGCCTTGAACTTATTGGCAAAAGAACAACTTTCTGAAGAGAACACCAACAGCTCAGGCTCTAAGATCAACAATTAATAAAGGATACCACATGAAGCTGAAAAGCTTCTGTAAAACAAAGAATACTGTCAACAGAACAAAACTACAGCCTCCAAACTGGGAAAAGGTCTTCACCAATCTTACATCCAATAGAGGGCTAATACCCAAAATTAGCACCCAAGAAATTAAACACCAACAAACCAAAAAAAATCAATTTAAAAAATGGGGTACAGAGCTAAACATAGAATTCTCAACAGATAAAAACAGTCAAACAATGTTCAACGTCCTTAGTTATCAGGGAAACACAAATCAAAACGACTCTGAGATTCTATCTTACACCCAATGGCTAAGATAAAAAACTCAAATGATGGCTAGGTGGGTCAAGATGGTGGTGCCGGGAGGACTCTCATTCTGAGCAGCAGCAGCAGGATCAGCACAGTGACCAGCAATCAGAACTCGCGGCCATAAAACACAGTCATTGTGTTTCCCAGGTGAGAGGATACCCCACGGTGGGGATTCAATCAGCTTTTAACTCACCCGGCTAAACGGGGGAAGAGATCCTGGTTCTGCCAGGTGCTTGGCTGCCGGCCGCCAGCCCCAGCCCCAGCCCAGAGCCACAAGCCAGTGTCTCTGGTCACGGTCCCAGACTGAACCGTGCACACCACACTATCAGAGACTGGAATTTTCAGTCGAGAGATAACCCCACGGTACAGGAAACGATTGGGACCAACCTTAGGTCACCCAGATATCCCCTGGAAAAGACTCAGGTTCTACGGGCGCCCCAGGAGCCAGCCCGGAGCCAGAGCCGGGGACCCAGGCTCCAGCACAGAGCCCTGCCTGCATGCGCGCCTGATTCGCTGCCTGAGATAGAACTGTGAGCACCAGGGCACCAGCGAATGAATTTCACTGTCCGGTGCAAACACACAGGGAGGGAAACGGCTGGTCTGATCTCAGAGCACTCAGCCGACATCCCCACCCCAAAAAGGTCTCGGGAAAATTACCCAGTTTAGGCAGACACCCAGGCTCCCAAAGTCCGGAAAGGCAGACACAGGCAGTTTCTGTGCACCAGAGAGCTGGCGGAGACTGAGTCGCCATCACTCAGCTGTACTCCAGACATAGGCAGTTTCTGCGGCCAGCCAGCTGGTGGAGATTGAGCAGTGTGCACCAGGGCAAAAAAAGAGACTGGGAGTCCCTGTCTTCAGAGAATCCACAGGGAAGGAAGGAAACTGTACTGACTTAAATCACCCAATCCTTCCCTGGAAAAAGTCTAGCAAAGACCAGAGGGGCCGAGCCGCCATCACTCAGCTGTGCTCCAGACACAGGCACAAACAGTTGCTGTGCGCCAGATGTCCAACTGGGTCACAGCAGCTGATCGTTAAATTTACAGCAAGAAACCCAGAAACAGGGCAGCTGTCTGCAGGATTTTCCTGGGTGAGAGGAGAACCCTCTCGACTAACAAAGACCACAGTTACCACTCAGGTCTCTGAGGTCTCTGAGATGAGCAGCAGCAACTCCTGAAAAAACGCCAGCCATCCAGGAGCTATACCCAAAAAGCTGAGAAGACATCCTTCAGGAAAAACCAGCTTTCTGCAAAGGGGATTTTTTCCACCACAGGATCCCCAGGAACCACCAGAAAATGACCCCAAACACCTAAGATAGCACAATGGGTAGAGGCCAGTGTAAAAGCTCAAGCAACAAAAGACAGAGCAATATGGCATCTCCAGAACCCAGTTACCCAGGGGCAAGTAGCCCTGGACACCCCAGCATAACTGAAATCCAAGAAGATGACCTAACAACTATGCTCATGAAGATGATAACAGAGGACACAAATAAGATACGTAAAGACATAGAGGAAGATAAACTCAAACAGAATATTGCCATCCGTAAAGAAATAGAGGAAGCTGCAGCCAAACAGTTTATGGCCTTTAGAAAGGAAATGCTTAAAGCACTGAATGAAATAAAAGAAACAGAGTTGAA